CAAAGCCGTATTCTGGAGGGCTGTTTTTTGTTGTTTTTTGAAAACATGTTGTACTTCATGAAGTGATGTGCACCGATTTTTAGAAAAATCTTCAAGAAATTCTAGGTATATTTTTGTAGAGTTTGAGATAAAGTATTTGAGCATATTTGAAACTCAAATATCAATAGCAGATTAGCTAAATCAAATGCCAAAGCAGCAAAAAATACAATAACTACAAGGACATTTTATGGTTTGCAAGAGTAGGAAGAAAATACATTCTTCTAAAGATTGACTTTTGGACCAAATTGGCATAAAAAAAAAAACCCAACAGATGATGTCCTTTTCATTAGTGGGACAGTATTTTGATCCTAAATGATCCAAAGATGTTGAAATTATTTTGAACTTCTCATCCTCCAGGTTTCTTTTTTACCAGTTCTCCTCCCAGCAGTTCACCAGTAGTATATATTTATTCAAGGAACCAGCAGATAAGGTGCAGTGATACTGGAGAAGGCTGTCCTGTTCTCCAATGAAGTGTTACGCTTACACAGTTGAACTTCTTCAGGTACATTATAGATATCAGCTATAATAAATATGCAATTTACAGTATTCAGAGTGTTTCCTTCCTTAACAGGAGAAGCATAAAGCCACCTTAAGAGAGAATTTTTATCTCAAGAACTGATGAAAGAAACCACAAACATAGGAATCCAACTATTAAGCTCGTAAGAGATACAGTGTGTTCACAACCACTCAAGAAAAGCTTTCTTTCTTTTCTTCTTGCAGAAAAATCTTACGTACAAACCAATCCATCACCTTTTCTGGGTAACATTGAGTTTTTGCAGATACAGCTCTTAAAATGAGTGATGTTCAAAGCTATCACAAAATGTTTCAATCTCAAGACTCCAGATGTTAATTGGAAGAGGAAAGCAAGCTATTTGCACTACTGTAATAAGCTGCAGCGATTTTGTTATGTTAGACGGGAGTGTTAATGATGAGACACAAATGCAAGTTTTTACAAAGCCTCTGAGAATTAAGCAGTATGTCCTATATTCCTCTTCCTTGCTGTTCCAGTGAAAACCATACATGTGGAAGAACAAATGAAAATGTTGTCATGGTGATCAGAGCAGATACCGAGCCATTTACTGTGTAAGAAGGATTCCCTAAAGAACCTTATTAAGCATTTTGTTGCTCCTTTTTAACAAATGTTTTCAGAAAGCTATTTTTATTTCACTGCTGAAGTAAGCCAAAGCCTGTTTCTCTACCCTCCAAAATAAAGCAGAGCATGACAAGCATCAATAAATATTGTTAAAAGTTAGGAATGAGAGCCAAGACAGAGCCTAAATAAAAAGACCTACTCGTGATGTTTGAATGTTTTTCAGAATAATCACTGTGAAACAGCTCTGTGCTAACTAGACTGTCCATGTCCTCAGTTGGCAAATGAATAAACAAACCTTTAAATGAAAGGCATCATGAAACTCTGTTGGTTACAAGGAATATGATTTTTTATGATAATGCTACCATAATATGCTAAAATGTTATTTTTCAAGAATATTTCATGAATAAATATGTAGGTGTGGTGTTTGATCTGGTGAAGGAGCTAGCCTGCAGCGGAACCCCATCCAAACCCATCTGTGTGCACTCTGGTACATAATGCAGGTGGCTGCATCATATTACTCAAGTTATTGGCAAAGAAAGCTAGACCTGACCAATGAAGACATGTTGTATTTCTCCTGCACAAAACAGTACAACAGACATTGACAGAAAATGCTAAAAATACACTGAGAGGCAAGAACGTGCACTTTGGGCTAAATGCAAACTTCATTCACCAAACCACCAAATTTTTAGCATCTAAACTGAATATGTAAGTACGTCACAAGACTCGGCACCTCATCTTGCAGGTACTTAGGGCACAGAAGGAATCCAAGTTTCTGTTCCATTATGGATGGCTGTTTGAAGCTGACTTACTGAGTAATAGAATTTTTTAACAAAATTGTTTTCTGCCTCACTTGTGGGGCTGACTTCATATGCACTCATGGAGGGAAATTTCTACTATACATGTAGAAGTAGGTACCTCAGTTGAGCTTACTTCATATTCCTCCATACCTCATTCTTTTTCTTGAGTTGCACTTTAGACAAAGCCATAAGAAAAAACCTCTCAGAACCTCAGCAAATAACTTGCTGATAACTTTTCTCACAATGCCTGAAGTCTGTGGCTTCAAAACATACAAGCATTGTGCCTGTTGATGGCATGGTGGTCTTGATGAGTATTCTGGCATAACCTTATTTTACTATTGCCCTCCATACCCATAAGTGGTGAAAGCATGTAGAGAGCTGCTTAGAAAATGTAATCCACCTTCCAGTACCAATCAGGGCAGAATTTACACCCTCCCCTGAGCCCCATAGGAAGACATGATACATTACACATCTTTTCAAGTTCTAAAATAATTTAAATCATCATCGTTCAAAATAGGATGCAACCAGCCATGTTTCCCCAAAGTTTTATTGATGCAGTCGTAGTATATAACCATGCATCTTCATTTTACCTGTAGTTACAGTACTTCCTTATTCAGATTGTTTTTGTAGTCCAGTTTATTACAGCTTTCACAAAACATATTTATAAACATCACTTATTGTATAAGACTGACCGTTCCAAACATCGTAGATCACTGGCATTTTTTCCTTAATAGTGCCTCTCGTGGAAAGGTCACACTACTCTTTTTAGATAAAAATTTGTAAAGGCAGATGAATTAAATTCACCTTCTGAAGAAAACAAGAATGTTAAAAATAGCTTCATAGTTGGTATGACTCATTTAGGTCTCAGAAAAATCTATGACTGCCAAAGATATCTACAACTCGATACTGTTCTAGATACTTTCATTAAGAACCACGGAACGTTTATGAAAACTGAAATGAAATTTATGCACTGGTCTGAAAAATAAGGATTACCTTGATTTTTTTTTAAGATTTTTATTTTTATTTTATTTATTTATTAAGAGGAAATGCACTACCTTCTAAAAACACTGTCATCCTAGGTTAAATATTGATATCTGAGGAAGATATGCTAAATCCAAAAACATGCATCACTGATACCAAATTTTAACATACAATATTTTTACTTGAAAACCGACTCAAAGGATTGTGCAAAAGAGTTTCTTCTCCCTGAAGGGATTTTCAGATGCAGACACTGGGATAATAAGGGGATCTTCTCCAATATGAGCATCACAGTATGCCAGTAAGTCTGCTGCAGCCTTGGATACCTACCAGAAGAAAAAAGAAGAACCACTGTAACTCTTAAAGGCAGTGCATAAATATTCTTCATGTAACGTGCAGAATTGGAAACTGTCTTCAAACAGTAAACTGCTTTACTCTTCATGTTATCAGACTCCACAGCTCTGAATTTGCTCTTATTATACCTAGTAAGCCTCACATACACTTCACCTAACCCAGTGACAGGGCATGGTATTGACTTATATGATTAATATTCAGCTTTTCATCTCCATCAGAAGGGAGGTCAGGAGAATATACGCACTGAAATATCCATCTGCTGATTGGTTGTAAGCAAAAGGGATCCTTCATGACAAATGTCTTTGTAGACACGTGCCTTCTGAGGCCTTCTGCCTCAGTTCTTATTCCCAGGCATCAAAGCAGCAAAACTGCAAAGTTTTCTACGGACTCTCTCTATCCTTTCCACATCTGGAAAAAAAGATCTTGAATTTGAATAATAGTTCTCATTTAAGTTAAATGAGATAATTCAGACTATTATCTTCTGTTTAGTAAACTATTATAAGTAATGTTTCACTCATCACATTAAATTTGATCGTCACTTAAATATTCTTCTAAAATAAAAAACTGTAACATCTCCAAATTCTAAAATCTGGCTTATCCTTACTGTAAATAAGCTATACATTCCCTATAGGAATGTAACAATGTTTTGATATTCAAGAAGTTTTGCAAGAAAGAAAGATGAAACTATTTGAGGTTTAGCTAAAATCTTCAAACTTTTCCAACTTTGTGACTTGAGAATACTGCCATTCAATTGTTTGGGAGATTTTTTCCCCTCAAGAACTTAGGACATTCATACAGACATGAATTACTTCTGTTCAGTTCACAAGATATTTACAATTATCTGCATTTCTTCGCTTTGTTGAATTACTGCATTTTCAGTATTATGATAAAGAGAATGAGACAGTTTACAAAGTCTTTCCCTGATCACCAGGACAGATTTTCCTTTGTCAAACACTGAAGTTAGCATCTTTGCACAAATATAGCAAAGAGGAAAAATAAATCTGATTTCAGATATGTTTATGACAGGCGTGTCATCACTGTTGGCTTTAGCTTCCCCACGCTCTGCTTGCTTTGGCAAAAGTCCATCTTGTGGTAGGCTTTAGATTAGCTCTACAAAGTCAATGGATATCAAATCATGATTCACACAACAATTAAATTAACTGCCAGAAGATAAGAAGTGACTTTCTATCTTCAAAATATCCACTAAATATGCCTTTGCAGAATGCTGAAACCCACAGATTTTCTATGGTTGGCTTCCCAGCTGTCATGGTTTTATGATTTTTGGTCATCAGTATTCCACACCATAACATCATGTAATGCACTGGGGGTGGGGTTTGATATCTGCCGAATGTTCGTCCGTCGGAGAAGAACTACATTTCCCCAGGAGGCTTTGCGGTCAGCAAGGGGATATAACTCCAAGCAAGGTCACCTGAGCCTTCTTCTTCGCCTGCTCTTCGCTGTCTGTGCTTCGCTATCTGCGCTTCGCCGCCTGCGTTTCGCCATCTGCACTTCGCCGTCTGTACTTCAGTACTCAACTGGACTGCACTTCTCACCCCAGCATTGTGGTGAGGTCTATACAATTCAAACAGACTCTCTCTCTCTCTCTCTCTCTTTGTAGTTTACTAATTCTATATTTAGTAAAATCATTTGTTCCACCTCAGATCAGTGCTGTTGTTTTTTTCAAGTATTTTGGGGTCCCCTGCTTCCCCTTTCCCAGAGGCGCGGATCCGCAGATCCCTCCGCCCTGCTGGTCACGGAACTGGGCCGGACCAGCCCATAAATCGTTGACACCAGCTGAAGAAGCAGGTGTGTTTAGGTTACTTAAAATTAGTTTGCTATGAATTAGTCTGCAAGACAAAAAGCCTGGCAGAGGTAGAGCTATAATGGCCAAAAGTGTGGGAATGTTGTATTCACAATTTTAAATTTACGTGTGAATTTTTTAAACAGCAGATTTTCCAAAGAGAAGCACAATGTAGACTGATTATTAAATTCGTATTGAGCCTCAAAAAACAGCAAAGATGTTTTTCTGTGCTAATGACTTACGCTGACCTCAAGAAAATATAAATGAGCAGAAAATTCATTCACCAAAGAACTTAACAAGTTTCCAGTAACTGCAGGAGGAATGTACACCACAGCATCTTGGAGAAGTATCTTCAGGTAATGACAATCACAGGTATATTTATTTCCACTTTTCTATTTCTTCCGAGCTCAGCTGCATTTATCCAATTAAGGCAGTTTTACGCTTTTGTTGATTTATTTGGTCCTGAACTGTCTTTCACACAAACAGAGCAAGTTAAATTCTGAGCCATAGGTGCCTACAAAAAGGTTCAATAGCATTGATAGTTCTATATCATAATAAGTTTTGTTACCATAAAATCTAATGGAGACCAACTCTAGTTCTCTAGATCCTGGATAATGGATTTATTAAAGATGCTCAGCATACTCGTCTTCAACAGGGTACTGAGAAAGTTTATTAGGAAATATTTTACTCACAAAGCCAACAACTTCTTAAGCAGGTTGATATAAGATGACCAACTTTCCCATAATTGTCATGATTGTTCCACATATGGATAAGCTGCAGCAGCCCAAGTATGTTGCTTTGTTTTTTTGAAGGTATAAATCCAGGGATATAATTTTCTAATTGTTTCTCTACATATTACTGTGCTTAGTCATCCTACAGCAATGAAAAGGATGGTACTGAGGAACATTATCAGATTTCTGTACGTTATCACAAACTCAGCCTCCTAGCCTGCACTAGGCTGTATATTTTCATCCTTTAAGCAAGAAAAGGTGTGAGGAGGAGAAATCCTCCCATGAGGATTACATTGGCTATGAAACTGAATTATAGCAATTTCTTCACTGAAGAACTGAAATAGCTCATGCTTGTGCAGTGGAAAAATGACCACTTAGTATGGAGAGTTAAATTAGATGATCACACTGCAGCAGCAGTGAACACATTGCCAACAGTGCTCACAGCCACAGGAACCAAATTCAGAGCGGTGGCCAAAAAAATAAAGCGAAATATAGTTTTGCCTCCAGTACACTTCCTGCTCAGTGTGATTATTCAGACCAATGGTGGCAGAAGACCTCTGCATTACGCCATTATATTAAAGCTACAGCATAGATAGATAGCTTTTTTTAACATGTGTCAGCATGCAGAGGTAGCCTACTGGCCAACACTCTGGTTTGTTACCGCACAAAATAATGTGCTACTCGCCCTATTTCTGTCATAGAGGAAGTTAAATGAAGGCAAGGCCAGTCTACCATGGCTTCTACTCGCCTTTAGGGGAATACTGCCAGGCAGTTTCTGGTCAGCTTTTAGCAAGACTTAAAGTGAAAGCATCTAATTTGAATATTCAAACAAAACTGGCACACATTTATCATTTCAGTTCACCTGTGCAATAGTTTGCTCTGCAGATGAAAAGTAATTTTTACATACTGCAGAAGTGGCTAAAAAAAATATTAGACTCCAGCTTGATTGATGAATTCTAGCAAAAAGTCAGCATTTCATTTTTTAAAAACATCTAAAGCTGTATATGTGGAGGGGATGGAATGCATCAGTATCACATCAACCTCACATTTTATAAAAGTATATTTATTTTTTTTAATGATAAATACGTCTGGTTGTCAAATTACCAAAAGAAAAAGTCAAACAAAACAAGACGAAAACACTCAACTCTGATGCTTCTGATGTTTTGAAGAATCAGTCTTAGGAGGATTGTGGAATTTTACATTACATTTTAGAATAACAGAGGTGATAAAAACAGCCAAAGCTAGAACATAATCCTGTTAGCTGCACTAATAATTACAAGCTTCAGTGACAGGGCAAAATGCTGCAATTACTATGTCATCTGTCTTGTCATAGGTTGTGACTAATTACCACCTTTGCTTAGACACCCACTCTGCTTATCCTCTACATCTAAAACAAAGAGATTCACACACATGTATTGCCAATCCCACCACATTTATCTCCCAACACTATTCAGGATCTGCTAGGAATATTTTCTATCTTCTTAAAGAAAAAAGAAAATGTAGTAATAGCTGATACACTACGATGCTTAATGTCAGACTACTCCTCCTTGCTTTTCTGCTTTTGAAGGGAAGATTAAATAGTGCTTTCTACTTGGGACAGCAGTGATAAAGCACCAATATTATCTTTGCTTTCTCAACTTTACAGCGTTGGCAGATGCATTACTCTACAAGTCACGAGGCCACTGTTCATCTGATTTCATTTCATGTTTTCTATCTCTGAATCTGCACCTCCTGCTTTCTATTTACTTTGTTATAATCCCAGCCATTCCTTCTGCAGAGAAGGAGGTTTGATTTACAATCCTTCAGGGATTTTTAAGGTCTACAGAAACCCACCACAGTAATACACCTTACTGCAACCAATCCACATGCCAATAATTTCATCTTCTCTTTTATAGCTGCCCTGCTCCTTTCACACTTCCACACTGAGTTGTTTTTGTTGAACCCCAAAACGCTGCATTGCTTGCTGCTCTGAATGGTTGCAGGACTTGATTATAAACTCATTAAAAAAAAAAAAAAGAAAACAACAACAACAACAAAAAAAACAAAACAAAAAAACAAAAACCCCAAAAACAAAAAAAAAACCACACCTGGAATACAGCAGGGAATGGGTAACTATAAATGTATTTTAACTACAAAACTTTTATTGAGCAGACCTAATTGTTGCAACTGCTGTCCACAGAAAACAAAGTGCCTCTGTTGTAGAAAAATGAGCTGGAACATTTGATTTCCCTGGTCAACAACATAGGTACTTTGAAAAGTATCTTTTTAATGTTAACAATGTGGTCTTGTCTACTATGGGAATAACAACTTGGCTAGTAACTTGCAAAAGAGAGTCTAAGTTATTTTGAAGGGGCTGATCTTTTGTTAAATGCCTAGCTAGTGTAAGTAGTTGCAAGAAGCCGGGAAAAATAACATTTCTCTAATTTTGCAGCTATGATCTGAAAATTCAAATCTCCTACTGGAACCATTTGAAGCCTCTTGGCAAAATTTGCCAAGTACACACTTAATCATTTCAAAGATGAAAAGGAAAACAGATACTGAAATAAGGAAACCAACCTCTTTTCATAATCCCTCATGTACTTATTCAAAGGCGTTCTAGAAATCAAGACATCAGCCTTTTGTGGGTCATATTTAGTTTGTATTAGTATACTATAAGCATTAGTTATATTTTAGCTACACATTATGTTATCATATATTTTGGAATACTGAAACATGTTAACGTCTCTGGTGTCTTTTTTGGTCCCAAGCTGAAAGGTAAAATAATTACACTTGCAAGCCAGATGATTGTTAGGTCCTGCTGGTGCCTGGGTTCTTTTTAATTAAACTAACTGCAAAAAGTAACCTATGTAATTCTTACATATGTAATTAAGAACGTCATTAAACATCTAACAAATGAAGCTATCTGCATAACTGAGCTAATGATTTCATACTTGAAAGTTATAGTTTGATTATATAAAAGCAAGTTCTAAATAATCTACTAAGGATCAACAATTCAAATTACAAGAAACTAGCCCACATTTTTCCAGCCCTTCCCTCTTCCACTCATTAACTTTCCTCCTTGTCAGTTCTGTTGTTCACACAGCTGCAACATGACCTGAATCAGGGACTGATTCAAATGAAAATTAACCTGCAAGGTTGTGCTGAAAAGGCAGAGCCATACTGAAGGAAGCAGAAATACCCATCTCTGTGAGTGTACATCTATCTGAAATGAGTTTGTCAAGATACTATACAAAATAGAAACTATAGCTATGCAAATTGAGCTGTCTCTGACAAGACAACACTAGCAGCCGAAACAACTGAAATTTATTTGTGACTGATCATTTGTGTCAGTTGTACTAATATTGCTGAGTCATAAATACTGTCTTTCTAATTAGTGAGTTTATGACCTGATACTGTGTTATTCCTCAACAAGAATTTTGATTTCAGGTGATCAGGTCTTTTTGGAGGGAGGTTATACCACAAATGAATTCAAATGAAACGAACTCAAGATATGAAAAATAAGCCTATGTTTACCTTCATCCTATCCATGTATGCTTCCATTTTTAATTGCTCCACAGCTTTCCTGGCTTGAGATATATTGGTTGTACTGTTTGACGTTAGTTCCTTCATTTTGTTTCCCTGGAGGAGGCAAAGTTGAGACAGTTTAGAAGTATAGCTAGCAAATACACCAATTAGGAAGAAGACAGTTATCAAAATCTAACCAACCCCACCCCACCATACTGACCATGCCAGGCTGTGGGTTACAAATACAAATCACATAGCATTTATACCTGTTCCCTTACTCAATAGTACCTGATTGCATCACGTATTTGCACCTTCAACTGCAAGCACTGTCTGAATCCTGCAAATTATATGAGATTACACTGCCAGTGTTCCAGTGCAGAAATTGTTACCCTGGTTCAGAGTGCCAACACAGAACAGCTGTTCACAAACCGACTTTTCAGTCATTATGCAGTTTGGCTCCACACCCTGATTACACCTACTAACATGAGAAAAAGATCAGAAAAGTGCACAGTAATAATGAATGCCACACTGACCTCACTGAACTTTGGAAACAGGGGTATTTTAAGGTAGAGAAAGGGTCAATATTTTGTCTATGGAACGAAATAATTCAGAAATGAAATAATCGAGATTGAGAAGAAACAACACAGTGGTTTCCAAATTTTTCTTGGAGATCTCCAATGAAGTAAAAAGAAGAATAAAATATTATATAGCATACTGTACTGCATATGACCTGGTATAGTCCAGGGTAAGCAAAAAATTTGACTCTGGTTCTTATCCCTTGCTTTTTAGTGTTTCCTTTGGAGATGAACAGATTGAGACAACATCCAAAGTTGTGCTCACACAGGAATTTCATAGTTCAGAGTTACTCATTAAGAAATACATAAGCATCAAGGCTAATTATCATGTACAGGGCTGGCAAGTCTTTTTTTCCCCCATCACCTTACAGCTCTCATTCTACCACCAGCACTAAATTACTATAAAACTGTATCACACAAGCACATTCTGCTCACCACCTCATGGTTACTGATAAATGCTTTTGATGCAGCTCTTTATTTCAATTTATGAGTACTACTTCTCAGAGCCACTGTAATTTCATTAAATGAACTCATTCAGAAGAGTAGTCTAATGGGCTGGTACACAAAAAAGCTTGACCTTAAATGCACTTGGAGTTGTAAAAAGAATTGACCAAAAGCAAAGAGATTGTTTGTATAATTGTTAGCTGGTATGTTTTCATTGTCAGCCTGATCATTTACAAATCTGGGAAATCACTACCATTTGTCTGAACAGAAACAAGTAGGACACACAAGGGATTAATATGGGCAAGCATACACATCTGCTCTGATGAAGGGACAGGAACCCTAGTTCTGCACCTCTTCCCATCCTCAGCCTCCCACTTCTCTGTTTCACATCAAGTTGCCATTTACTCCAAGCATTTCTAATATACTCTTACTGCTTCTCTTAGGGAGCAGCTGCAAAGTGTGCTCGAGAAAGCATTCCTGTATGTGGATGTAACTGCTGCCCATGAGGGCAAGGCAGATGGTCCATGCCTGGTTCAAGGAACCGGTACAGTAAGGAGTGATATCCATAGGGATTTCAATTAAGCATCTGATAGCTGTGCTTACCATTCTCAAGAGCTGTTAGTAGATTAATCTGAAGGAAGTGAAGTACTACTGAGAAAGCTTTGGGAATAGTGAGGCTGTGGCTGGGAAATGAGTGACAAAGGCAGTGGAAGAGGAAGACGTCTCTGTGCCAAAGACCCTGCAGCCCATAGCTATCTTTAAGTAAGTTGTTTTTTTTCTGCCCTTAGGAGTACTCAAGTAGCAGCATTTCAGAAGTCATCTTGGTCCGCAGATACTTAGGCAAAAGAATGTAATTACTGCCTGATCTACACCCAAGCTCAAACAGCATGATCTGGTCAAAGAGACACCTAATTAAGGTAGGTCAGTATTTGAGTGGCTTTCTTGAATTGCTCCTTCCTAAGGGCATGAGTAAGTCAACTCATTACCATGCAGTTCTCAATGTTGTTGCTAGACCAAATAAGATGAATAACCACTCTGGAACCTTTGACTTCCAACCCATGTGCCCTAGGTAGTCTGTACAGTACTTGTATAAACTTAGGAAGAAGAAATGCTACTTTTTAAATTATATTGTGTGCCAAAATAATGTATGCCAAAACAAAGAACACTTTGTGTGCATGCATATGCTATTTAGATGGAACACGAGTTTCTCCCTGAAATGCACCCTGTCTAACTAAAACTGTGCTAGAACATGGAAATGTAATTCTTCTCTCAGTCTTTGTCTACAATCAGCTAACTCATGCTCCTCACAGAGCACAGGATTAAATGCATGTGGAAGAAATGGCTTTGGATAAAATGCAACATACAGTACAAAAGAAACCCCAGAGCCAATCCACCAGCCAGTCTTCAAACAGCGTTCAGATATGTTCTGACTTGCAGTGGGCAAGGACAAAAGGCTTTCAGGCAGCCAGAAGAGTGAAAGTTCTGTATTAAAGCTCATCTCTGGGCTTCCTCTTTGACCTACCCTCCTTGCTTTTAAGGTTTGACCCATTTATAAAGACGAGAACAAACGCATTTATCTTTGTTTACAAAATGATACTCCCACAAATATGAGTCACCAAATGTTATCATCTTCATGGCTGGACTAATAATGACCACAGAGATGAAAAATCTAAGCTAAGTACAGAGGCAAGTCTCCATTTGCTGCTGCACGAGTTGAGAGGCAAACAAGAAATCTGATTTTCAATAATGCATTTCAGCTAAACTGAATTAAGAGACTGAAACTCCATGAACAGTACAGAGAATTCCAGATCTGCTTAGCTTTTCTGGTAAATTTAATCAACCTCTGAAAGTTATGCACTAGAATGAGAATATGTGAAATGTTACTGGTTGCATTGAAGCTGAAGAGAACAGTGTTTCCAGTAATTCCACCTGGTTTTTAAGCACTTTTAAGTGAAAAGGGGATTCAGGGATGGTCAAAGTGTCACTGAAATGCTTTTAAAAATCCAAACCCCGTTTTCTCAAATGATGCCACAAGCATAGTGCATTCTGATACAGCAAATGAGGCAAAAATAAGAAGAAAATCCGCATTACTCTGGTAAACTATTTCAGGAAACAATCAGAGTGGAAGGCTTCAAAAATAAACTTCAAAAAGGAAAAAAATCTGGCCAAAGGTATTTCAGCCACTGTAGAAAATTTGTCCCTAGTAAGAGTTTTGTTTATGCCCTGAGGCACATACCTGTACTGTGTTCCAAATCCTGCTCCTCTCCTGACCTTTACACACACTTAAATATTTAACCATTGTATTTCTGGGAGCGCTTAGCATCCATTTCAGTATCTAGTCTGTTTTTCCATATAGCCAGTTCGCGTTTTAGAATTTATAAGGCAGGTTACTCCTATTTCACACTTCACAAGCTAAATATACCTCTGGCTTCCCTCATGCACAAATAGAGCACTAGCATATCAGCTACAACACTATCACACATTAAGTGACGTCGACTGTGAGAGTAATTCCCATTCTCAAATCAAACTATGATGTCTTAGCAGATGAAGCTTTGGCTGCGAATCCTCAGATCCTATGATATCCTCTAATAACTTTACACTCAATATTCTTTAATGAAACAACTTTGTTGCTCAGAAATAAAGCTCTGGAGAGAAAAGAAATTGTAATGGACTATCTGTTACATATCCCTTCTGTGAACTCTCATTCCCTGGGTCAGATGAGAACTCCTCCAGCTGTGCTCCCATGGGATCTCTGTCTCAGTGTTCAGCTCCAGCCCACGGCCTGACAGACAGCCCTGAGCACTCTCTGCAGCACTCCCTGCAGACACTCAGGTGTTCTCCAGGCCTACATGCTCCCGGGATGGCTCACTAACATTTGTATCCTACGTGGTGGCAGGATGCCCACAAGGAATAACTTCTCCCCACCTTTTCAGTTACTTACAATCCTCAAACCAGAAAGTGCTCAGCTGTGCTCACTGTGTTCATTTCTGCTTGTTTTTCCAGCAGTCTCCTATTAAGTTAGATCGATACAAAGGTACACAGGCTCTGATAGTCACCGTAGTTACAGTAACTATGTTAGTGAACAGACTACATGCAGTCTGCACGTTACTGGCGTGTGCCAGTAGTCCTACATCATACAGGATCTCATCTATCCGGAATATGGTTACGTAATGTGCTGAGTTCATCCATCCATTCTTGATGGCTCTTTAAGGGGAATGCTGACCACGTTAAAAAGAACAGGGTCAGCAGCTACATGGCCTTTTCCAGCCGAGCAGTTACTGTGGGCTGACACCATGCTGGTCAGCCATATCCTCAGGCTGCACAGTGGCATTTTCCCATCCTGCTCAGCTGAGGGCTTTTTTCTTGTTAGATTTTTTGACCCCACATAATCTTCATTCTCTCTCTCTTTTTTTTTTTTTTTTTTCCTGGATGCAGTTCACTGATTGCCAAAGATTTTCCTCTCCTGGGCTCATAACATGTTTGTGAAGAACAACTTTTCTGCATTGTTTATAGAGTAGATTAGACTGTGCCCGATAGCACTTCAAAGGCCAAGTTGTCTCCTGATAACCCAGGAAGTTACATCAATATTTGCAGGTAAAGGTTGACCTCGTGTAGGTAAGAGGTGCAATGTGCATTTACCAAAGCCTCTAAACACTTATTAAAGAGAATGCAGAAAAAGAATGCAGAAAGAATCTGAAATACTGCATAACACAGAAGCAACACCCAGTTTCAAGCTCTACGGTACAGTTTTCTACAGTGGGATGAAAGGCTGCACAGCAAGCTTATCTTCTTACACCTCCAAGTACAGCTAAAGTAAAGCTAAAGGTGTATACTGCAGAACTAAATCTAACAAACCCCAACTCAAACTGTTGCATTCTTTTTTCTTTCAGCAATCAAAAATGGTGGACTCAAAATTACTGAATGCTATGGCCCTCTCCAGATCTTCTAGGACTTCCACCTCAGCAGAACATAATCTTCCCCATGCAAAGGTAATCCAGGCACAGACACACCTGGGAACAGCCTCTGAGTCAGACATGATGGCAAACCAAACTCAAAATGGCAGAAAGAGCCCATATGTGTTTACCCACGTGCAAACGCACCGGGTATACAAACAGAACCCTCACAGCCTCACAGCTGTTCCGTGCCAAGCTGACAGATACTGAAGAGGTTGAGGGGAAGTCCACCCCCTCCAAAGATACCTGGTAGCACCAACAGAAATGGTTACCGGGAAGGCTGCTCTTAGCAAGAAAGAGACAACATAACTCTTGTTCTGTGCGTGCGGTGACTTCACCAGTAACTGCAGACCTGCTCAACTTCAGCGGCTCTGTTTCCATCTAACACGGCGCTGCACGACACCCAGCTGCCGAGCTCCGACATCGGCACGCTGCGTTCTGTACGCGAGTACCAACTCGCTTCTCAGCGCTCCAGCAGCCAAGGCAGCAGCCAACCTCGCATGGACAACCCTCTGATGCTGTCCATGCACCACCAGCGGGGAAGCAGAAGGTCTGCAGCACAGAGTCCATCCCCACTCCCCCCTCCGCTATTTCGCTTCCTTGACGAAGTTTAAGGTACTCGCGAACTTCTAAAGAAATACACAGGTAAAAGCGACCGCTCCAACTAGAAGTAAGGCACAGAGACGGCGCAGCACCCGCCCCTGCCGGACGGCGGCGTCCCCGCCCGTTACCCGCATCCCTGTGCGGCAGCACCGCACGCGGCGGCCGGGCAGCAGCGCCGCACACCCGTCCCGCGCTCAGCCCCGCCAGTGGGAAGGTGCAGAAGCCGCTTCCCTGCGCCCGGCCCCGCCCCGGGACGGCAGGCTCGGCCCGGTTCCGGCACTCGGCCGCCGCAGACCGCCCGTACCTCCCGCGGCGCGCGGCTCCAGGCACACGGCGAGGCGAGGCTCCCGCGCCGGAGGAGCGCGGCGCTCACCGGCGGCCGCTCTGCCCGCGCGCCCGTCAGCCGCCGCGGAGCCGTTAGGCCCTGAGGAGCGGCGCGCGCCGCCGGTACCCACCCTGAGCGCGGCGAGGCGGGAGCCGTCCGCGGCCGCCGGTGGCAGGGGCCGCGCGGGCGCTCCCCGGGCACCGCTCTGGAGCCGCCCTACCCTCGCCTCCTCCCCCGCAGGCGGCGGCACCCCGCAGTCGGTCAGCGGCTGGGACGCTTCCAGCGAATGGCGCGGAGCGAGCGTCTGCGCGTTTCTGGAGCGCGGAGCTGGCAGAGCAGCTCTGGCACAGGAGCTCGCGCCGGCCCTGCGACGGGAGTGTGAAGAGAAAGAAGATTCCGCTGTGGAAAAAACCCGTGCTGGGACCTCCGCGAGTTGTGCTGTCACGGCTAATGGGGCACGGCAAAATGAGTCAGCGCCGTAGTGGGAAAAGTGTACACAAATCAAATGGGAGAATCAGCCGTAAGGCTCAGTGGCAGTTAACGCCGTTAACTAAAAATCGGCCCTAAAAACACGCGTGCTGATGGGAGATCCGCTATAGCAAGCTCCCGTTGAGGGACAGGCACGTGTGTCACCCCTCTGCCACCACTGCCTCTCCTTCTCCCCCTCATCAGACACGAATGTTTCCAAGGCACTTCTGTTTTCCATACAGTGCAGGGCAAAGTTCTGCTTTTAAAGGTGCTTCGAAGCAGAGACGTCCCCTCGCAAAGACTGAGTCCGTGGCTTTTAGGACGGTTATTCAGGAAAAGGAAACGCGGCAGGAGAAAGACAAGCAGGGCAAAATGCCTTACTGGACGTATGTATGTACAAACACGGCCCTACCTTCACTGGGGTCCCAGAAAATTGGGCAGCTTATGGAAGAGTTGCTCCTTTCAGACGCAATAGCATCACCATCAGTCTACCGAAGGTTCTGTTTACCATATCAATGATTTACATGCTCTGAAACAAAGCAATTACTAGGCGGTTCAGATAATCAGAGTGGTCACTAACGTGTGCAATATGTTCACTGCAGGCATTATTCAGGTGTGTTAACAGGATTTTAGAATTTCATGGGGAAAAGCGAGCAAGCTTAGTTTCACCTGGCTCTCTGCTAGGTAGCCCAGCACAGTGCAAGAGTGCAGTCAGACCAAGCAGCCACACTTCTTGATCCTCTTTCAGTAGCGACCCACCCGAGTTGTGAAATACACAGCACAGCCCGTTGTGGAACGCAGGTGTAAAGCCAGTGGCTTTCTGATCCCACCCAGAGCTAGCACCCGGTAAGTAACTGCCACATCTCATTAGCACAGAGCGCGTTTGTCAGCAGTTTTATCTCACTACAGTGTCAAAGAAGATGCTCTCAGTACATCTAGAAGCTCAAAAACACATAGTGGATTTTACAAGATTTTTTTTTTTAAGGCAAGCAACAGCTTTAAAATAGTCTTGTGTAATTGTGGTAGAGTAACGGGATGTTGCAACTTGTTTTCATATGTGAGAAAAAGAAAACGCCAACACAAAAAGCGTAAAGAAAACTAGTACTTTTGGGACTCCATTATGAGCTTTTAGGGAGAATTAGCTTACATTATCTGGGCATTTCTTGGCAGCAGAGGTCGGGTTGTCTGTAGTTTTATGGATTAACCCTACAATTGCCACATGAAGGTGAACTAAATTTGCAAGTTGAAACCATGTGGTTTCTTACCCCCCTACTCTGCTCTCTGCAGACTTCCACAGACTCTTGCTCAGTATTCAGGGACAGGCACTTCATTGGGTCTTTCTTCAGAAATAGATAGGGTTTCAGGGTTTCAGTGCAAAGAAGATCCTTAACCTTGTATTTCAGGCTTCAAGTTAAAAGTTTTTCCATTTTCTTTAAATTACCATTTTATTTACTTACAGAATCCCTCTCTTTCCCCTGCAGGATATTTTATACTGTTTGATTTACTTCATATATGCTTGTAGGTTGCTCCAAAAATAATGCTTCCTATTTATTTCCACAGAAAAGACAAAGAGCAAAGTAACACTATTTAATAGAGCAAATTCTCACCTGCAAAACACTTTTTCAAAATAGTTACCACTGATAGCTATGCATTTTCACCAGCAACAAACAGGAGTGCTTCATTTTGTGGTGTGGCCATCCAGAATGTGGTTTACCACACAAGTCACTGCCCCCACTGATGAAACACACCACCCACTGCCTCCCTGTACTAACATCCACACTTTGGTCTCCATTGACATTCAACAAGTGCAGTGGGTGCCATTAATACCACATGGAGAAATTACATGCCACACCTTTGCTTCATACTCTCCTGTATGTGAGACATCATTTTGTCAGATTGCCCCTCTGCTGCTGTCTGTCACAGAGAAACAAGTGACAGAATATTGGTGGGAAGGTTCAACCTCCACTGTGCCATACCCACAACATCAGCCTCAGACCAAAATAATAAAATAGGATGCACTACTTTTGGAGCAGCCTGTTTTCTACAGGACTTCTTTCATTCCTTCTATTTCTTATAGTGGGTTTGGGACAAATGTTTGGGACAATATCTAGGTTCCCTTTCACCACTACAAATGAAAATACAACTAACTAGTACATGGCCTTCCCTTTCTCATTACACGCATCAGTGCAATCAGTGACAGAGGTTCACCACAAAACCTCACTTCCAAACTTATACCCCACCTCGTGCAGTTTCACAGCAACATGATGTAGCCCACAAACAGAACTTTCCTCCTTCAAGAACCTTAAAACGTTAAAAACCTGAGAACAAGCAGAACAGGAACTAGAGAGAAGTGAGCAGATAATCTCTCAAAAAGAGGTAAAATTAAGCCAAAAACATGGTTCTAGCCATCTCCATTTGATACAAAGGTCTGTTTATTACCCAACAGTGTGACAGTGTATACAAAGACAGTGTGGAACGTGAAATTTACAGGAGGTTTCAGTACATCATGCACATATACTATTGCAATGGTATTTCAATAGTTCCAGAACATTAAGCTGAATAAATATTCCTCAGTTCAAAAAAATCTTTGACTTATACATAAAAATATATAATATTGCACTTTTTACAAGGCCAGCAATTTTGCATATTGATTTGTAACAAGTGGAATTCTACCTTATAAAAATAAGCCTTTGTGAGCAACATCCCAATTGAAGGAGGACAAAAGCATCCCCAAACCATCTCGTTTGTATTTTGTCGCTTAAGTAAAGCGCATCACTTCAACATGAGCCAAGAAGCTTTTCAGTCTGTATTTGGACCTCACATTAACATTTAGACAGTGAAAAACATGACTACAGCCACCCCATACAATGTTGCTACAATATATGCAGTTTAAAATTCAGTTCATACAGCTGCTTGCTTAATTGAACTAAAAAAGGTAAATCGACCTGTGTCATGGACTGAGAAGACTTCAGTTTTTCCAGTTTGAAAACCCCCAAAATCAGAAAGTCGCAAAAATTTCTGTAAGGACCATTTGGAATTGTCTGAAGTGTACAGTTTTCCTGTATGCACATCTTATTATGATTTCATAACACAGTACTCGGAAGGCAAACGAGCCTTAAAACTAAGATAGAGCAATTTGTCTATATGGCAGCAGTGGAATATGTCAATGATGAAAAAGCTAAGGTATGAAGAAGAAAAATGTAACTGCAGAGTTGTGTCGCATTCTTGTACCATTTGCATGACTAGCAGGCACTCACTCAGTGTCAGTCGGGTCTTGAAATCCATCAGCTTCAGCGTTAGTTTTTCTATCTGGCCTAAGAACTCAGATGTAAGCTATTAACAACGGCACCTTATTTTTTTTCTCCCCTCTCAAAAGTAGCACCTAGGAATAAATAGCATATTTGCACAGTGTACCTACATAAACTGTTCTGAATTGCTCAGTGCCTATAAACATTGATTTAAACATTTGGATTCAAACATTTTACAGTGCACTGAAGTTCAATGACACTGAGAATACGAGCACATCAGTGCATTCTTTAGTACCGTTTTTAGAGCTCGGGATGGCAGGCTGTGTGTATGATGTGTGTGTAGTCTGCCACAGGACCACAACAGCTAGGTATTACAAACTGAGTTAACACTACGTGGAACACAAAACCAAAACACGATTTAACTATTGCTTTGTGAAGCTATGAGGTGTCTGCCCATCCTTGTTTTTGTCCAAAGACTTTCACACCATCCGAACGGAGAAGACAGCAGAAGTTGCAAATGAAGATGGATCTAATTTTTTAGTATTATAATACCATTAAATGGTGCAAAAAGCACCTACTAAGTTCTTTGCTTCTCAAAAAAAGCAATTTTGAATCATCTTGGATTTTTTTTTAAATTTTGGGTCACTTACCCCAGAGCTAACACCACCATCCTTGACTGATCAGATATACATATACTGACATTTTCATAAATATTTACAGAGCTTCATACTGCTGACATTTTACAACGCAGGACGGACAAACACTACTGATTCAATCTTTGAAATAGTTGCTTCCAAGAAGTGATTTAAAAAAATACTATGATGCTTTGTATTGCAGCATTTTGACTTGTAGGTTAGAGCATTTATACGCCACTTTGCTGGTACTGGAGTATGCAACCAGAGCTTCCTGGTGACTCCATACACTTCAGGTTTGTGCATGCGCATACAATTTATAACTGTCCTAGACTGCCTTCTGTTTTTCACCTACACAGTCATTCTAGACACATTCAAACTATTTCAAAATCCAGTTAATGAAGAGATTCTATAA